GATTAAAGTTTGGTGACATTCCGAATTACCGTCTGGTTATTATTATTATTATCATTAATTAATCAATAAAATACACAAATCTACGGTAAACATGTACCACATTTCACTGACATTCCAAATTACCGTCTGGACGCAGCAGCGGTGTAAGTACATTATATACGCACCTTGGCGGAGGTCTGCACTCTCTGAGTGCTTTTCTAGTTGTTATTATTATTATTATTATCATTGTTATTAATATCATTATTATCATTATACTTATTATTATTACCATTATTATTATCACCATTATTATCATCATCATTATCATTATTATTGTTATCATTATTATTATTGTTGTTGTTGTAGTTCTTATTATCATTATTATTATTATTATTATCATTATTGTTATTGTTCTTATTACTATCATTATCATTATTAGTATTGTTGTTGTTATTATTATTATTATCATTATTATTATTATTATTATCATCATCATCATCCTTATCATTTTCATCATTATCATTATCATTTTCATTTTTATTATTATCATTTTTATTGTTGTTATCATTATTACTATTATTATTATTGTTATCAATATTATCATTATTATTATCATTACTTTTGCTACTATTGTCTTTATTATTATCATTATTATAATTATTACTTTTATTATTATTACTATTATTATTATTATTATTGTCACTCTTATCATTATTATCATTATCATTTTCATTTTCAATATCATTGTTATCATTATTGCTATTATGATCATTATCATTATTACTATCACCATCATCATTATTATTATTAATATTGTCATTGTTAATATTATAATTATTATTATCATTACTATTATATAATAATAACTATAATTATTATTCTATCATTATCATTATTACAATTTTATCACTATCATCATCATCATCACCATTTTCATATTATTGCAGTGCCATCCTCTTGATTATTATAATTACCATTATCATTATCACCACAATGATCATAGAAATACAAATCATACAAAAAAGATGATAATGATAAAAATAATCCAAGCAAATGCCACGTAAGCTGAGATGATCCAGCGGCTAAGAAATGAAAAGAAATAATGATGATACTTTCCTCATAAA